AGAACCATCATCTTTTGTCATAAAAAATTGATAGATTTTGATTGATATGAAATAGCTCTTTTTGTATACCAGACATATTCATATTTTCATCTTCCGTTTTTTTTTACCTTTTTTTCTTATTTTTTGTATTTTCTGATCGCAGATCAGTAAATACATAGCTAACATCCACGGTCTAACACAAAATTTCCTAACAGACCTAACAACGCAAATTAGTTCTCACTCAAAACTGCTTAAAAACCAGCAATTTAAAAGAAAGAACAATTTTTTGTTACAAGTGTCCAACAAATTACTACACATTCAAACTTTAAAAGTAGCGTTGGCTTATAGAATTGTCAATAAATGCACACTCACAAATGACGCGGATGAATATGATTTTAATCAATGAAAATGCTATTTTTAGCGATGTTGATTACCGAATACTACACAAATAAATCTGACTGCCGAGTAGTTGAATACATAGTTTCTACATGTTGGACTGTTTGGGCGAGAAGATTTTTGCTAAATTATTTACTTCAATTTTAAACAACAGGTTTACCCTGAACAAAATACCTCGAAATTACCCTAACCCGAAATGCAATGGAAATTCTAAATTTAATATGACTTGATTTTATTCAGCCCGTGCTGGTTTAAAAACCCGAAATGCAATGGAAATTCTAAATTTAGAATGACTTGATTTTATTCAGCCTTTGATTTTAAAACTTCTCCGTTGTGCAGGGGTAACGCGCTCGCTTACTGTGTGAGAGGTCTGGAGTTCAAATCCCAGTCGAGTCAACATTTTTTAATTCTTTTTTTAGTGTCTTTGTAAAGGAAATAGCCACGATATGCAAGGATAAAGTGTGGCTATCATAAAAAATGAACATAAATGATTTTTTGATGCAACTCTAGTTATGCAAAATTCGTATGTATCAAACTCTGGTGCCCTGCAAGATGAATTATAGTACATAAAAATGAACTAATACAGGAAAACACATACAGATATACATTACGATTTAGATTGCAAAGATCAGAAAATACCACAGAGCTTGCAGCCCTTTGGTCTTTTTGTTAGGTTGAGTATCTATACTCGCGTCCAGTTCACTTGAACTACTGACCTCTTTAATTCATTGTTTTTTTATAAGCTCTCTTTTGGATGTTTGGTCAATGTCTGCCATTTCTATATGCACTATCAGTATTTGAACTAGTTGATCATACATTTGAGTGGTTAAGTATATCTAGTGATCCATATTATAAACCGTTTTTTCGACTTTAATTTCTTATGAAGTTTGTGTATTCACAAATTATATATAAAAATGGCGCCGCCCTTTATGATCTCCATTCGATTTTACTGTTTACATAATCAAGTTTGAAGTTAATACATGTCATGGTAAAAATGTTCATAAATAGTGAGAGAAAAACTCAAAAGATGAAATAGTTAAAAGGATAATGCAGCCCTATAACTGTTTGCTTTAAATCGGGCAGGGTGAAATGTTGCCAGGGAGTGATGTGTGGAAGAAGGAGGGCTTATATTGGTAGTCAGAGAAGTTGGCGTAATGATAAGGGTTGCATAACTCTCGTTAACCTATGGTACTAGGGCCTTGGACATATGATAAGAGATAAATTTCAACTAGGTTTATGGTATATCTTATAAAACATAATTAGCCAACAGTTTAGTTTGTGACGTTCAAGGGAACGCATGTCCAGTTCTTCAAGTTTTCCGTGACTCTCGAATAAGGGGACCTTCCCCTTTCCACCATCGTATTGTACGCATTTTCACCATCTCTTCTTGTTTTATATTGCCATTAATATACACAGAGACCAGGTAGTTGATGCACATACCACATGTGGCCAACCAGGGACTTAATTGTATGCTAGTGCTTTAATTTTCTCATTTTTTTGTAATTACATCCCGTTTGAAAAAGCCATGGAATCTTTTTGCATCGAAGTTATTCTAGATACATGTGTATTAAATTTATGATCAGCAGACAGATGTAGGCGTAAGAGTCCGATGGCCTTGGAGCACATATTTGTGTTTTATTATAGTTTTTTTGGTATATCACAGAGATATTTTCTTATCGAGATATATGAATATATGAAAAACTTAATATGATTACCCAGACTTTTCACCATTTTGGGAATTCCACCAACACCGTTAGAACTTTCGAAAGTACGTCATAAAATGTTCTGAGCAGAGAGTCATAAATAGAAACTACTGAACACGCTATGAACAATACAATGTAGTTTCTATTTATTGTCCTTGCTACCATATTTTCTTGTAAAAGTAACATCACAGCTAGGATTCTTTTTTGAAAAGAAAATAAACAAAATGCAAGCTAAGGGATTGAAAAGTGTCTGTTTCTCAATTGGAAAAACGCCAGATTTTATGCACTAGCAATGGCTCCGTTTACCGATTAGAAAAATACCTGTAGTGAACATGTCAAGCATCTCTTATAACTGCAAGGTGTTGAAAAAGTATGCTTGATTAATTATTATAGATGACATGAAATCGTATTTGAAATTGTGAAGGCATATCCATATTGGGGTAGAGGTTGAGCATATGACTCTTAATTAAAAAGGCTATGAGTTTTGCTTTTACAGTCACCACTTATGCGCAAATACTGGTTGCAGCAGTCAGTAAAAAGTCATTCGGCGTGATATCAATATTGGTTTGCAACAGTGTATGTGTAAATAACGACAAATACATCCAATGTCTGTATAAGAAACGACAAATGAACTAAATTTCTGTGTGAGTAGCAACTTATGCATCAAATGTTTGTGAGTAACGATAAATGAACCAAAAGTATTGTGAGCAATGAAAAATGAACTAAATGTATTGTGAGTAACGGCAAATGAACTAAATGTCTGTGTGAATAACAGCGAATGAACCAACTGTTTAAATGAGTAACGTCAAATGAACCAAAGGTAGATATGCGTAATGGCAAATGAACCAAATGTATTTATGTATTGTCCAGGTCAAGCAAATAAAACTGGCAAGACGAACTTGTTTGGTATGAGATAAAACACAACACTTAGGTTGAATGAAATAGGGCATTTATTAAATGCCATAAATGACAAATGTTACATAATAACAAACATGGCATATACATATTTGTATTGAAATAACCAAACTGGGAGGTTAAAACCGCCACAAAGGGAACCTTCCGCCAATCATTCCTCGCCGAAATTATTTCTTTGTGATAGATCTAATGTAATCATTGGTTAATTAAGATCACATGATTTAGGACTTGATATCGATTGGCTAAGACGTATTTGGCTAAGACCCGACCCGTAACGGGTAATCTTCTATACAGTAATGAGAATAGGGACGGACCAATGACATAAATTATTTCATGTGGGCATAAAATCTTATATATATATATATATATATATAAGTTACGGCAAATGGATCAATTGTCTGTTTGAGTAACGGCAAATGAATAAAATGTCTGTGTGAGAAACGGCAAATGGATCAAATGTATATATAAGTAACTGCAAATGAACCAAGTGTCTGTGTGAGTAACAGTAAATGAACCAAATGTATATATAAGTAACAGCAAATAAATCAAATGTCTGTGTGAGTAACAATGAACCAAATGTATATATGAGTAACGGCAAATGAATCAAATTTCTGTGCGAGTAACGCCAAATGAATCAAATATCTGTGTGAGTAACGGCTTATGAAATAAATGTATATATGAGTAACTGCAAATGAATCATATGTCTGTGTGAGTAACAACAAATGAGCCAAATGTCTGTTATTTTGTTCCCCTAATGATATCTCTGCGTGTGTGTAGATACGAACATGTCATTTTTTGTTTTTGTTTGAAAACATAGTCGGTACCTGTTTAATAGTTCTAATCAGTATTTAAATTAAAAAAAAAAACAAAAAAAAAACAACAACAACAACAAAAACTTTATTTACCTGTCTGACAATTAAGTAAAAATCCAGCATGAGTTGTCAGTACTTGCATTTATGACCTACTTTTGTTGTTTGTTTTTTTCTTCCTCTAAGCAGTGAAGAACTACTTTCGTTAAAATCACAATGACTGACTAGAAAATTCATTGTAACACTGCGTTATAGTGCGAATGCACGATTTTCACGAGCTCTTACTTTTATTTTAGATTTACTACTCAGAATGCAGCGGCGTACCTTGTTTTGTTTTTACTCTACCAGTGATGGTAAACAATATAATTATATGCATGTGAGAATGTTTTAAAAAGGAATGCTGGTAAGGAGCTATAAAATACTCATCAGTTGTTAAAATTAAACCTTAATATATTTGAAGGGGACTATCACCCTTTATTTGAGCTAAACTCTGATGATACACCATTTAATTGCTTTCATAATTCCATATAACCGGATATTTTTATTATCGCTTTTCTTGTCAACGGTTTAAGCACAAGTCGGAACTTAGCACTTTATTACAATACCGGTATGTTATAATCATATGGCTCGTGGTCAGTCACAATCAAAACTTATGTGCATTTCACTTTTTTTATTGCTTTTTTTTCTCTCGAGGGGTAAATTTTGATTTTGTTGTGTTGAATGTTATGATAGTTTGCACCTACCAGTACCGTCCACGAACAAGCTCAATCAAACCCAGCCTGCAACATTTTGTCGCTCTGGACGTTCTTTAAGGATTTTGGTTTTCTCTATTTTACATATTCGCGTGTAGCTACTAATGTTACTTTCAGTTGCCTTATGTACATTATTAAAAACATGTGAAAGTTGAATTGTAGTACATGTATATACTTCAAACATTGTAAATTTATAGCTAAGGGGTGATATTTTATTGCATTCGAAATATAGGCACGGTAAGGCACTGATAAACTGTTGCAGCCGATATAAATTACATGTAAATCATAACAAGGTTTTATAAGAATTGTTGTTGCCTAAAAAGTTCTTTAGGATATGACCTTAATGATGCATGTTTAATCACAAATAGTTGTTAATTATTTGGGCGAAAAACCTATCTCGAGTTATGTCACAAAATTTATATTACCCAAAGAAAAATAACTCACAATTTAGACATGTTAAAAAATATTTATTCATCTGCGCTTTCCAAAAGACATTGTACCATTCGTTTGACCAAAGTTATTCAAAGTATTTGGATTGAAACTTCCAGATGTACCGCCTCCATTAATGAACTGGTTTGGATCGAAAGTGCCACTTCCACTGGTCCCAGTACTTCCTGTGCCAGTACTTCCCGTGCCAGTACTTCCTGTGCCTGTACTGCCTGTTCCCGTGCCCCCTGTGCCGAATCCCCTAAAATCATTAAAGATTCAACTTACATAAATATTCTTATGTAAATTGATTAATATTTTGATCAATTTTTATTCAATGTCAAACCGAGGGAGTTAATAAAATCGCCTAGTGCAAATAATAAACCCCAACTTACCCTGTACCACCAGTTCCAAAGCCAGATCCTGTTCCGAAACCTGACCCAAAGTTACTAGTAGTGTTCGATCCAGTGTTCATCATACCGAATCCGGAGTTAGCACCATTAGGATCAAAATGCCCAGTTGAGTTTGCTGTACCAGTACCCGTGTTACCAAATCCCCCGCTGCCAAAGTTTTGATTCAATGCATTTGGATCGACTGTCGCACAAAATATGAAAACATGACGTAGAACGTTTTAAAATTGTTTACTCATTATCATCAATTTATGTATCTAAATAAAAAATGCTCTTTGAAATCAATTACACTTTCAATTACGATATTGCTGTTTACTTTAGTATTTCTTTTTAATTGTGCTGATATTTGAATATGGAATGAAATTAGATATATATTGGTTTCAAAATTTCTTTAAATATTGACAAGAATGCAATACCATAAATTTATGTGTCCAAAAATTGCATTCTGATCAGTTTTAAAAGAAGTATTTATATTCATACAATGAAAATAAAATGTAATAATAACACGGCATACATTATGAATACAACTAAACTTACTTAAAATACTTACATTGTGCTAAACAGATCGGCAGCCAGAACAGTAGCGCAAGTTTCGACGTCATTGTATACAAATATCCGGCCTAAGGACAGGATTTATACTCGCTGACATGGCCTTATATACCGAGAGACATATCGCTATCATTCCGGTCAGCAATATCTTACGGTTTAACCGGACAGTTAGATATTGTATCTGACTTTTGTCAAAGGCCATACACAGGTGGTGATACCATGGAACTAAATATAGCTGTATACGTGGTGAAACTGTATCTAAATTAATACACTTCGTCATTAAAGCTGCATGCCTCCAGATGACCCAAAATATTTCAAGAACATTAAACTTGGAAAAACCATACTAAAATTTTGAGAAAAGTGATCAAATTAAAGATTCAAGTGATAATTTATATCTTATGTGCAATTAATGACTGTATTTTGTCGTATTTATCACCATATTTCTACTACGTTACTAACGCAGTAAGGGCTATTTATGCATATTTTGACTTCTTTTTTGGTAATTTACGTGGATTTAAAGTGCCGATTGTAATGTGTCAAGTACTGTCTTTGTTCATTTCACAATATTTACATTTAAATACATTTCAAAATTTTCATGCAAATTAGGATAAATCCGGAGGCGTGCTGCTTTAATAATAAAAGTTGAAGGTGAAATTGTAGAATAAACATGTACACACATTTCTCAGAGTGATATTTCCAAGTTTCCTATATCATCATATTAAAAAAGCATTAAGTAAACGAAAGAGTAAATACAGTACCTGTTACAAGTACATTATGCATATAGTGTAGCTGGAATGCATATATATCATTACATTTTTTTTTCTGATTGAATCTCTTTTCAGTATAATATACACTTAACAAGTTTTATAAGTGTGCATGTGTTGCAGGGTAAATTATTTTTACACTGGAAAGAAACAAACTTTGGGCGTAGGTTTGATGTATTTATCATTTTAAGTAAAAATGGTTTCTAAAAATATAATAAAATAATTATAATAAAATAATTATACATTTTACAAATACAATACATATAAAATATGATAAACAAGATCGACAAGGAAAGGCGGCATTCAATGAACGCAGCCCCCACCCGACCCAGCAACAAGCGCCAGCGACAAGGAGCCCAGGAGGACCCCAAAGAAAAACAGGACAGGGCAAACAAAATACAATTAAATAACAATATATACACAATTGACGCAAAATAAGAAAATACAAAAAGATATACAATTAATACTTTAATATTAATGATATTATTTTTTACCACAGCGTTTGTATGAAGATATTTACTTATATAAACTATTTTAATATAAATTGAAATAAAGTATATGTAGATTTATTGAATGATAGCAAACGAATTAACTATACGTTTGACTTGTGAGAGATGACTGTAAAAAGTGAGCGGGACAGAAAAAGCAAACAGTGCGCAGAAAGTAAGAATATTTAGAAGAACCAATGGATATTTTTTACATAGAAACATATACAACAAACAAAACAATTGGACAAGTACACCAAAGAACGAGTGGCCAGTGTTTACGATATTGCACGGGTGAGATTGACAATGTACATTCTCCAATTTAGATTTTTTTTAGACTTTTGATATGTTATACAATATAGGTCTGGGGTGTCAAAACACTCGAAATGTTTTCTGTTGCAATTTGTTTGAGGTTTGGCTCTATTTTGAGCTAGAATGACTGGACTAATTATTGACGGAAATTGTTGAGTTTTACCGATTTAATACCGGAAGTTAAACATATACAGTAAAACCTAAACGCAACCGAATAAAAACGCGCGTGCACGATGTTTTTGCTTAAATATATGTATGGAAAGCCACAACTGGCATTAACATATAATTTTAATTTGTGACACATGTATAAATGGTCTAATGTGTGTATCAATATTTGCCCGATCATGTTGAAATTTTCAATAATAAAGAAAAGTGACACATTCTCATTTTTATTTGTTTTGCTTTTCATTCAAGATACAAGTTAAAGTTTTTTTTTCTAAATGATGGGAGTGCCTGTCGAAAGTCGATGAACAGAATGATGTCCTAATACCGCGTGTGCCCACCCTGACTGTTTATTACAGCCTGGCAGCGTCGTCGTATCGGTGTTACATACCGTCGTTGATAATTTGGGGTATATTTGCCTACTCTTAAATGACTTTTGCACGTAACTCGGCGATAGTTTGTGGCACTGCACTGGTCCTTCGTACGCGGCGATTCAGTTCATCACATACATTTTCTATTACATTTGGAGACTATGGTGGTATCTCCATCACGTTGATTTTTGTTTGCATTTAGAAAGACTGTTGTTGCTCTTGTCGTGTAGGCTGGTGTGCTATCTTGCAACATCTGTAACCATCTGTTGTTTCTAAACAGGGGCAATACGTCAGTTTGGAGAACTTCGTGTTGATACCGAGCGGCGGTAAGATTGCCGTTAATGAACACCATATTAGTTTTTTGTGATGTAGAGAGAAACTTCCCGAAACTACTACAGACCCACCCCCACATCTATCAGATTCGATGATGCAGTTGTCGGTTAATCGTTCTCTCGTTGTAGATATACCCTTGAACGACAGCCATTTTCTCGTAGGCAGAATTTCTTAACATCTGTAAAGAGAACATGTATTCATTCTGCTTGTGTGGTTCTAATATGACGTCGAGCCCATCGATATCGCTGTCTTCGATGCCTCTGAGTCAATACAAGACCGTTAAAGGACCGTCTTCATCGCATATCGGCAAGCGATCGAAGGCGCTTTCTAACGGTATGTGCAGAGATGTTTTGTCCGTGTGTCCCGAGGGTTTGTTTGACCGTAATGACAGCTGTACGTCTTCTCTGCTGATGATGTAGTTGTACGATGTGATTATCTTGCGCTGTGATTATCTTGTGCGGCTGTTGTACATCGTTCAGGTGGTCGGCGAAAGGTCATCAACGCAGCCAGTTGCTCTGTACTTAATGATTAACTTTCTTATGTTATTGCGGTGTACACCCATGCGTTGAGCAACCTACAAATGATACAGATATGTAATTAGTAAATAAATATATGCATTTATGTTCGTTTTTGATAGAAATTGGTCTTAAAGGATTTTCTGCTTTTACAATTAAAAGGAATTAAAAGAAATATTTAAACAAATTAATTTTGTTACCAACCTCTGTTTGTTGTACTTTAGCGTTGACCAATCCCAGGGCTGTATAGATAATCAACCCATATTATGTTTTTCTGATATGTGGATCTCTGTCGTATCCAAGAATATCATGTGTAATTTTATTTCACCCATTCTCACATTTTTTTCGTGCATTGAATGAATTTCGTTTGTTCATAGTTGAAGGCGCGCCGCATAATTAAAACTGACAAGCTTCAGCACGGGAAAGTGTGGAAATGCAATAGCCAGAGCACAAAATTTTGTAAAAAATATTGATGAACAAAAAGATATAAAGACATAAAAGGTGCACATTTTGAAAATTTAATATGAAAAAGGCAAAGCCTCAAAGCGAGCTCGATGTACTTTTTAAGTGAAATAGAATGAAATAATCGCTCATTTTTATTTCAAATGCAGTAACATGGCTCCGCCCCTGTCGTGAAATGAATAACGAGTTTTGAAAACGTTGATAAAACTTTGTTTATTTTATTTCACTCTATAATTTTTCAAGCGAAATAGAGATCTAAAGATTATTTAAAGTGAAATAAAATGTAAAACGTTTGCGACATTAAAATAGCGTACTTGATTTGTTTGTTTTGCACGTGCTGTTTGGCGCTACATTGTGACGTCACGTAAACAATACTTTAAACGTCTGTACAGCGTTAACGACTGAATAAAAGATATTGGTGTTCGGATTCATTTTCTTAGTTAGACCATTTTCTTTCATTCTAGATAGTTTTCACAACAAAATTCGACAAAAAATTGTTTTTATTTATCAGATTTCAAACAAAATGGCGCCTTCGATTTTCATTTTTTATACACAGCTTCCGTTATTCTGGTTCCCTGTCTAATTATGGTTCCCATAAACGTGCGCGGGTGACCAGTCTACACATCCGTTTTCAGTCAGAATTCCTCAGTTTTTATCGTTATCTTTAAATTCGAAAGGTTGCGATGTGTCCAATTCGGTACTTTGGACGAAAGTTTTCAAAACCATCACTTAGCAGGTATTCGCGTTACCGTAAAGCTCGCTTTGCGAGCAGGCCCTTCGGGCCAGCTCGTCGAGCTCGCTAATATGAAAAAGGCAAAGCCTCAAAGCGAGCTCGATGTACTTTTAACGTGAAATAGTATGAAATAATATGAAATTAGGCAAAGCCTATGAACGGGGAAGTCGTTAGAAATTCCTTTCATTCTTTCCGTCTTAAAGGCGTTATTCGTGCACCGCTTCTGTTTTCACTCGGAACACTCGACGATTATCATTTATCCGAAAAGTTGAGATTTGTTCCGTAATCGGAATACCCCGCCTATTATCATTGAGTTACATTGTAAATGGCGGCGCCCGACTAGAACTGACACTGAAAATTTCGTTGATAGGTATAGAATTTTATATATTTTTTAATTGTTTTTTATTTGATTTTCTTTTAAATATACACGTGTAGTCTATAGCCGGGCAAGCCAAAGCCTTTGACTTCCCCGTAATAGCTCATTTTTATTTCAAATGCAGTGACGAGTGCGTGTGACGTCACACGTACTGTGTTAAAAATGGCTCCGCCCATGTCGTTAGATAAATAACGAGTTTTGAAAACGTTTATAAAACTTTGTTTATTTTATTTCTCTCTTTAATTTTTCAAGCGAAATAAAGATTAATATGAAAAAGGCAAAGCCTAAAAGCGAGCTCGATGTACTTATTTATGTGAAATAGTATGAAATAATCTCAAATGCAGTGACGATCGAGTGCGTGTGACGTCACACGTACTGTGTTAAATATGGCCCCGTCCCTGTCGTGAAATGAATAACGAGTTTTGAAAACGTTGATAAAACTTTGTTTATTTTATTTCACTCTATAATTTTTCAAGCGAAATAGAGATCTAAAGATTATTTAAAGTGAAATAAATGTAAAACGTTTGCGACATTAAAATAGCGTACTTGATTTGTTTGTTTTGCACGTGCTGTTTGGCGCTACATTGTGACGTCACGTAAACAATACTTTAAACGTCTGTACAGCGTTAACGACTGAATAAAAGATATTGGTGTTCGGATTCATTTTCTTAGTTAGACCATTTTCTTTCATTCTAGATAGTTTTCACAACAAAATTCGACAAAAAATTGTTTTTATTTATCAGATTTCAAACAAAATGGCGCCTTCTATTTTCATTTTTTATACACAGCTTCCGTTATTCTGGTTCCTTGTCCAATTATGGTTCCCATATACGTGCGCAGGTGACCAGTCTACACATCCGTTTTCAGTCAGAATTCCTCAGTTTTTACCGTTATCTTTAAATTCGAAAGGTTGCGATGTGTCCAATTTGGTACTTTGGACGAAAGTTTTCAAAACCATCACTTAGCAGGTACTCGCGTTACCGTAAAGCTCGCTTTGCGAGCAGGCCCTTCGGGCCAGCTCGTCGAGCTCGCTATTAAAAGTGAAATAAAACGTTTGCGACATTAAAATAGCGTAATTGATTTGTTTGTTTTGCACGTGCTGTTTGGCGCTACATTGTGACGTCACGTAAACAATGCTTTAAACGTCTGTACAGCGTTAACGACTGAATAAAAGATATTGGTGTTCGGATTCATTTTCTTAGTTAGACCATTTACTTTCATTCTAGATAGTTTTCACAACAAAATTCGACAAAAAATTGTTTATTTTTTATCAGATTTTTCAAACAAAATGGCGCCTTCAATTTACAATTTTATACACAGCTTCCGTTATTCTGGTTCCCTGTCCAATTATGGTTCCCATAGACGTGCGCGGTGACCAGTCTACACATCCGTTTTCAGTCAGAATTCCTCAGTTTTTATCGTTATCTTTAAATTCGAAAGGTTGCGATGTGTCCAATTCGGTACTTTGGACGAAAGTTTTCAAAACCATCACTTAGCTGGTACTCGCGTTACCGTAAAGCTCGCTTTGCGAGCAGGCCCTTCGGGCCAGCTCGACGAGCTCGCTATTAAGTGTATATACCGTGATAATTTGACATTTGAACTTTTTTACAGTACTATTTGTTGTTGTTGTTGTATGATGAAATAGGTCCCCGGAATAGCATGAAGCAAAACCAACACAATTTATCAGAATATGTCTTACGTATAAGTAATAAGTTAATCAATAAAATACAATTTTAAGCAGAAAAATAATAAATCAACCAATGAAATTTTGAAAATGTATCTTAAGGTAAATTTATCGCCATAAATAAACAATTAAAAATATATAATTTTGAAAGTGCCAAAACCATGCGACATGTATATCTTTTTATAGTTTAGTGAGATATGTGAAAGGTAGGCGGATATCTAAGGGGTCATGATAGAATGACCTCATGTACACACTGCTGATATATTCAGACATATTCAACAAACTACATATTCAGTTCTTTGTATGTTTACTGTGTCAAAAGTTTGCATTACTTATAAAATACCTTCAGCAAAGAGTAAAAGTGGCACAAATCAAAGGACTCTTGATTTCTAAAACAGTTGTTTTAAGACCTAGATATCTCTAAATATATTACTTTTGATGTTAAAATATTGACCAGTGTTGGCTATTTGTTTTTCCAAGTAAATGAATCGCCTATGAATGACCTATTTCTATATTATATACTATTTATCAATGAATTTCCCGATATTTACGCATTTCAGAGCTTATTTCATTTTTTACAGATCTTCAGTTCAGTTATTATTCATAACAAGTCTGAAACGTTTCATTTCATTAGTCTCAATGAATGTAGGGGCTTTCAAATTTGAAAGACACCGCTAATGGATATTACTTTTTCAAAACAGAGCGTTTTACATTTCTAAACCTGCTGACACATATTTTTCTGTAACGAAACATGTACATATTTGTTGCATATATAATGTATTTTAATTAGTACATTTTATTGAAAGTTTGCAAGCACGTTGATTGTTGTGTGTGAAATGTATTGACCACTGAAACACATTGAATTTTGGGTTCGGTAGTTCCTAATCTTTGGGTTTAAAAAATCTGCACTATTTTATTTGCACGTCGTAATATTTGTTAAATTGTTGGATTTTTTCCGGATTAAGAGTTTGTCATAAGGTTACATGTGGGAAAACAATATGTAGATAGTTGGTAAGTCGATTACTTGTTTTAAATATGAGTATATCATTGTAAATCAGACCCAACATTAGGAAGATATATATGTCACCAAATTTATATAACATGCCGTACTTTTTCCGTTGGAGATGTTTAAAAACTGTATCTCCCGTAACTAATGGGGAGGCATATATCGACTAAGGAGTTAATTTAATATCAAAATGTACATATTTTTAGGCAGTATCTGTTTTAGTGAAGAAAATGATGTGAATAATCCATAGCTCGCTTTAACATGTTTAAATACAACCGTAGATAGCAAATGGACAAACTATTTTATTCGTCTTTCATGCCAGTATAGTCCCAACTAATTGTACTGCGCGATATTGTGCTGTTTTTGTGTCTGGGCAATTCTTGCCTCTACAAAGCGAAATTCTGCCCCAGAACGAAAATATCTCAGAATCAAGCTGTGGCACGTCAATATATTTTGACTAAATGCCAGTATATCTATCCACTTTAATTTAAGATTATGTGCTGATTTCCTAATTTTTTATGTAGTGTAGAGCTGTTTCAGTTTACTATTAGTTAAGATGTCTAAATATTTTTCAACGCAAAAATCAACTTTAAATTTTTTGTAGTATTCAACAACGTAAACTGACACTAAAACTACCGAGTAACGTTTTAATTTCATTTAACCAAGAACTAGCGTTTTGAAAATTACATTGCTCTCTATATATTCTATTCATAGGGGCATTGTGTTGATTACTCATTAATTTTATCAGGGTCTTTCAAATAGAATGGTCTGGAGTCGGACCAATTCTACGAAAAAGATGTCTCGGTTGAGTCACGTAATTATGTTACTTACCGACTGCGTGATCTGGCAAAGTACGTCACCATTAAAAAGTCAAATAAGGTAATGCTTTGTTAAATCGATCAAACAATTACTGGAAACTAATCCTGGCAACATTGCATAATTAGTTTTTACTTTAAAAAGTAACAATTTTATAGATTTTCAATGAAATTAGGAATTTTTCGTTCCGGACCATTCTATTTGAAAGACCCTGATTTTATCAATCAAGACTCTTTCATTAAGACTGACATTACTACATGTAGATTAATCCAGATTCTTTGTCCATGTGGCTATTTTCTGTACGAAATCTGCTGTGGTCATAATATTATTTTTACAATAGCTTTAGCTCTTACATTTGGTTTGCTATTGCTGATCATGGTCATGCAACTACATAGTTAGATAAAGAAGCAGACGCTTGTTTTGGTTGAGTCTATTATGTTTTGTTTAGGGGGTGAGTTGTCATACACAAATTTACAATTTATATGCATTTATTTTTTTCTAATGATTGTTATTATCTTAAATGCTTCTGGGATTGTTGTTTTATCTATTCATTTGTAAATATGATTGTTATATGTTTATTAACGGAATAATTTTAATGAACACGACATTAGTTCACACCTTTATCTGTGACTATGACTTACAATGAAATTCTACCTTTAGTGTATTAAAAAGGTTTTTCATTTCCTGTAATTTTATTCTGTGATTTTGCTTCAAAGCAGTCAATTGACCGTGAATTTTCTTTTCATATTTTGATTTCTTTGAAATCATTTTTCTCATCTGAAAGCATGCAACTTTAATATGATGATACATTAATTACTTTCCATGAAAATGTTTAAAGATATAAAATATCTCATGACATGTTTGTTCATTTTACATTACACCTTTAATGCAGCAAACATAAAAAGTCGTCACAAAAAGTAGTATGCAATCGTACCTATATTACATACGAATGTATGTAATATTTTTCTTGTTAGAACAGGTCTCTATCAGTTACGTCTCAGATCGTTGGCTATTCGCCGAATACCGCCAAATTTGAAGATTGAAATCGAATCCCAAGAATATGTATATAAAATGTTAGATGTAGTTTATCAATTATATTAAATTCATAAACGCTCCAAAAGGTCAGTGCAAGTTAGAGCACTCAGCAATGCACACTACTTGTTTCTATTATCTTTGCCGATGTATAGCACTAAACAATGTGGTTAAGGTGTCATTCCTTTTTTAAAGATCTCTGTATAGTTACTAGAATTTTTATCAGACAATGCTACAACTTAGTTTTAGGAGTAAGGTATGTATTCAATCAAGTGTTGTGTTTGGTGTTTATAAATGTATTTTATGAAACATATATATTTCAGGGCTGTTTGTCGATAGATAGGAAGTTTGAAAATCTGAAGGTTGTGTCTCATTTTCAACTTGGTGCCTAATCAGAACGGAAAAGCTGCAATATTAGTACTTATTTATAAAGGCCAGGTAAAATTACATTTATTTGATAATCTTGACTGAATTTGAAATAGTACAATTAAAAAATGTTTTTAGCATGTGTTTTGTATTTCATGAGTGTACCTAGTGCATACATTGCCGGTTGTTACAAACTCATAATCATAGATAAAATACAGATAATTATGGTTAAATGAGTGCATCTCATATTTTTATCTAAACATTGCATAAAACATGTAACAAGAATGATTATGTTAAATTGAAATATAATGTAAACAAACAAAATATAGTTGCACTTGACCGTATTACTTACAAATGCACTAGAAATGCCCAACATATTTTTTATTCAGATGTCTGAAGCGCTTGAAAATTTGCAGAAAGGAGACGAGATTCCTGCATTTGATGATGATGATGAATATGAAAAAGAGCTTTGGTTACAACATCCAGAAGACCTTGACATTGACAAATTTAACAGAGGGCGAAATTTTTTCAAGAAGAATATCAGCAAGTGTCTAATCGCAATGATGATGTCATTAATTTGCGGACTAAGCATAAATAGGTTTTTGAAAGTTCTTGTGTGCACTGGAATGACATCATCACCATTTTCCTCCTTTAAACGCTACATGGGTACAACGATGCACGTCTTGAAATGGCATTATGGGAATGTATGGGATCCGCTATCCTCTGCTTCTAAGTCCATCCGCTCGGTGCGGAAACTGCACTCAGACGCGAGAACTCTTATGCAAGAAAATGACCATTCTTCAGATGAAGTAAATAATTGTACCTTTGCTAGAAAGGAAGATAAAAGTGATCATCATATTTACATTTCACAATATGAGATGGGGTTAGTCCAAAGTGGTTTCATGGGTAGTATTATAATGTATCCGGATAAGTTTGGAATCCGTTGTTCTAACGGCGATCTTGACGATTATGTTTACTTTTGGCGATGGATTGGATATCTGTTAGGGATAGACAATAAGTATAATATATGCATTGATGGTTATGAGAAAGCCAACATGATATGTCACGCTATTGAACAGAATATTCTTATTCCTTCCCTTTACAATCCACCAGTGCACTTTTATCCAATGGCTGATGCGTTTGTAAGTGGATTTAAATTCTACCCGTTGGCGAGTACTAAAAGTATTATTGCTACAGGGTTTCGCTTAGTCAATTATAAATGTCCTTTTCCAATTAATTATGCAGATACATTAAGAATTTATTTCGCGCGAAGTATTTTAGTACTCCTGTACTATTTTCCGTCATTTACTCGCTGTCTTAATAGAGGTATAGAAAAGATGTATAAATGTGATCGAATCACGTAGGTGTTTCCTTCACATATCATATGGTTTATTCTCTTCTAATTTTATTTATTTAATTAAAACAGATGTGATATGCGAATTTTTGTTCTTAAATATCCAACATACTGTCCCACATGAGAATACTTAAAAAAGTACTAAGGTAAACACTGAAGTTTGAACACAAAATGTCTTCAAGAAGTTGTTGATAAAATAAAATTAAAACTCTTTAAAAGACATTTGATCACGTAAAGAAAGGAAATCATAAACTTACTCAAGCATGATTGTCTATAAGCAGATGTAATAGTAAGTTTTAGATCTATACCCATATGTAGATCTATCAAGTTCTGAAAAAGTCATCTTTAAGGAGGAACTTACACTTAAAAAGGGTGATGACACCTTATCATTGTCATGACAACCGGGCTGACCATAAAAAATCAGATTATGTGGACCTTATATACAAATGAGTGAACATTACCATTATGTACTAAAATTTGAAATGTTTATTTATTACTGTAACATAGTGACTAAAATTATTGTAATTGTGTTGTTTCTAGAATATTTGTAATTGAGTTGTTTCTAGAATATTTGGAAATGCGTTGTTTCTAGAGTAATTATAAATGCGTTGTTTCTAGAATATTTGTAATTGCGTTGTTTCTAGAGTAAATATAAATGCGTTGTTTCCAGAATATTTGTAAATGAGTTGTTTGTTGTGTTGCCCCTGATGGTACTTTTTGTTTCTCACCAAAAGTTAACGTGAAAACATTTTTCATAAGGATAATATTGTAGAATAATTAAAGGTTCCTTATTTCTGAAAAAGGGCCTTTATAACATCCCAGAAAAGTGGCCATAACTCTATTTCCGTACGGTAAAGTTTGTTTAATTTTTGCATACATGTGTCCTTTAAGATATATATCTGACCTATGTGGTCAATTTTCCAGTTCCTTATAGTGCCCGTTAGGGTGATCATACCTTTATTTGTATCAATCATATGTCTGAATATTGTATGTGAACCAAACTTACGCTGCTTTTAGCCTGTGCAGAGCTTTGAACAAGATTAAAAGTGCCTTTTTAGTTTTATATGCTGATAAAACATTTGCGCGCCATTTTTAATTTTCTGAAATGAAATATACATTTGAATTAAGACTGGAGTTTAAACTATTCAAGATGAAACTATCGATAGCTTCTTTAGTCTATAATCGAGCGAACAACTTGCTCGAGTGTGACATTTCTTGCATATGCCGGTTAATAAAGTTAATACATATAGTGTAGTTTAATACTTTTTACTGTTAGTAATTATCTTAATTTTAGAAACGATGGTTTTCAAATATGGATAACAAAAAAGAAAATGTTGAAATTCTGGTGGTTTTGTGCTTGACTGATCTATATTTGAGCAAATGACGAGTGATTTCCGGTTAACATATAATAATCACATGAAGTTTGATTATACGACCTATTACATAACAATGTATATTGGAAACTTAACATCGTGTAAGATGTATATATTAACTCGTGCTGAATAGCGTGTACATTATACATGGCACGTGTCGGATATGCACATAAAATTTTGCATGGTGACCTCGTGCGTGACCTTTTCTATTTATTGACACAATGATCGTTTTCATCGAAGTCATGGCATTGTCTGCAAACCCTTGTATCTTATCACGAATCTTTAAACGTTCCCTAATTGATGAACTTATATGCTTATCTTCAATTAAGTTTTATCATTCAACGAGGACATATGTAACGAGGGCAGGAGTATCTCTAACAATGCCAAAAAAGCTCGGTAATGTAGGTCCATTCTGGTACTGTATAAATACAGTTCACAAGAACAAGAAAAGTAAGTACGCAATTTGATCAGCATCAGAAAATAATGAAATAAGCTTCTAGTTTAATACATTTTAAATATTTGGTTATGGTGACACGGTATGTCATTTGTATTCCTATACTAACAAGCATCACAATATAAAGTGAAGTCGAACAAGAAATGTATGATTTTAATGGTTTAATTGACTGAACAATCAAACAGAAGTGATCTAATTATTGTCACAAATTCTCTGATATGAATTAATATGCAATGCAGTGAAAAGGGTTTTAAGATAAGTCACAATAGACAATTATACACTATATAATTAAACAATTCAATTTGTAACAAAAGCACATAGCTACGGAAGCACAGAGTGGTCTTCTTTTATATTATCTCTTAGCTAAGAGAAAAACTCGAAACACATTTTGCTATCTCGCCATTTTGAATATCTATGGTTATACCGGTATTTAAAGGACATCTATTTATACAGAAAACGTATAGTGCGCCAAGTTTTGTTCGAGAGTACTGAAGCATGTGTTTATAACTGCATTTTGTAAATCATAACCATATAGAATCTCTATCTCTGTCAAACCGCCATCATCAAATAGTTCTTCTTCGATGCCGAATTGGACACACTAAAATTACCCACTCTTAATATCTCCACACGAATGACAATGCTCCTTTCTGTGTAGCTTGTAATGAAAATTTTACTGTCAAACATTTTTTTCTTTTTCACAGGCCCGTAATAGATTTTATCATGTAAACTCATTCAAAGAATTCTTTAACACAATTCCATCAAAAACATCATTGATTATTTAAAAGAGATAAACTTGTACTCTAAGATCTAATTGGCTTATTTTTATTGTCATTTACAAAACATTACATAACATTGTAAGCATATTATAGCATTCGGCACGATATGGCCAGTTATATGTTGACATGCCGTAAAAATCCAAACAAACAAAACCAAAGAGGAATATATCATTTATATATAGATAGAGCTAAGCATTATCGCGGTCTGTTGTAAGAAACTGAATAGAACATTTCCACATCGGATCAGGTTACGAGAAAAAACATTTTTCATTCATTTTTATGGTATCAAAAATGTTATCTATTTAAAGAAATTGTAAAAGAATTGTAAAACAACAGATTGTACAATGCTTCAAGATGTATGCTTTTGTAAAAATGCTTTGATTCTTGTTCCGTTAGTATATAATTTTACTGCTCCAGTTCCATTTAAACGAAACGTACTGTACATAATCAAATACTTCTTTTTAAAAGAGACAAGCAAAATATGTACTTGCATTTAAATAAGAACATGTCGGTGACAATTTAAAAAGAAATAAAAGCTATGTGTAAGATAAACAATTAATTCACCTGCTGTGGCTGAGGGATTGCCTTTTAAGCAGCACGCCTCCAGATTAAGCTTATTTTTTCAGAACTATTTGAAAATGAAAATAAATGTATCAATTATTGCCAGAGTAAAACCACAAAAAAGGAATTTACCACCATTATCAATGGATGTTACAACCCACCCGTTTAATTACCATAAAAGATCAAAATGTTGCCAAGTAAATTAAGTTCTTTACTGCGTATTTAGAAAACGCTGTACAGTAAAATATTATGTTTACATCCCATTAAAGTTGAAAACTCACTATTAATCGCTCATAACATGTAAATTATTAGTTGACTCTTGAATCTTGTTACTTTTCCTAAAATCTTAGTACATTTTTCTCAAGTTTAATTTATTGAAATAATTTCGCTCAACTGGAGGCATGCTGCTTTAAGGATTGATCTGAGGCATAAGAATAACAGTCACCGTTTATCCCTGTGTGATTGTAGTGAGACTAATGGGTGTCAAGTGCTGTGTGGCAGCTGTAAAAAGTTGCCCCATACTTCACTTCAGTGTTGTTATATTTTTCTGGTCCTTCGGGATCATTGATGCCAGCACTATTAAGTGTTGAGAATTGAGTACCGCTCAAGCCGGTGCTAGGGGGCGTGAGGGATGTTGCACTTATTCATTATCCCTCATGTACAGACTCAATCAAACCGAGTCTGCAATTCTCTTGTAATTTTGTTGTGATTAATGCTTCCGAAGGATCACTTTGTTTCCAGATTTTTTTTCCTCCAATAACTGGAGTCTATATACATCTCTTAGCTCCAGCAGGAGGGGTTGGTGTTGCTTTGAAATTTGTAACACCCGAGGTTAGCCGAAATCATCTTTCCTATATGACCTACCAGTATACTGTGTTTGATCGCACTAAGTGTATTGTTTGTTTTATTTTCTTGTTTTTTTTTTATTCAAAAGTTTGATATGGCAATGTTAAAGTGAAAAATTACATCTGACAGTTCACTGTGAATTGAAGCAATAAAAAGTCATAGATTTACATGTCGCTGTTCGCTATCAGTTTCTCTACTTGTAATAGGGTTTGTAAGCGAACAGCATGGATCCTGATCAGACTGCGCGGATGCGCAGGCTGGTCTGGACCCATGCTGGTCGCAAACGCATTATGTTGGTTTTGTCGTGACGCGGCTCATATATGTGGTTATACGACACCTTTCACGAACATGTGCCTAGAAAACTGTTTGAAGTTCCTCCATAAAGAACTATTTAAGATTATTCTGTTAAAATGTTGAGAGACCCTTACATTTAAAATCTCAAAAATGTTGTAGGTAGATTCAATTAAACGTTTTTTTTATAATAAACAAAACGTTATTTGGTTTTAGATGCAGTCGTTTCGTCTTCAATCATCATCGTCAGTTTAATTGTTACATATGGAACACATGATCTAGTTCATCACGAACCACTCAGTACATTTCCCAGGCTGATATTCTCACCCAGCGTCCAACTGGAAGAACGCGAAACAAATACGTCATATCTGTGCTACACAAATGACGTCAACATATCTCAACGACTTGGACGACGCTTGAACATTTTCAAAGGTAAAATATCGGACAATGAATTCGTTTTCTTATCCGTTGGGATTGATATTAGACACATTTTAAATATAAACCATTTAAAGGAAGATTCGTGTTTTTCTGTGGAAAATACATTCCTTTATCATTGCTGCGGATATTCGCCATATCTTAAAGATTCGGAGAAGAACTTTCGTTTGCAAGAGACAAACTTTGAGTTTGAAAGACGTGTCGTAACAGACAACTATTTTCGCGTTGAAGACATTTTCACTGGTAAACCAGTAGTGGTAGACTTAACGATAAAGTTTCGTTCAGGAATGTTAAACCATAGAATAGCTGAAGTCATTTCCAGACATCGATGTCGCGGAGACGTCAAAGTTGATCACTACCCAGAAGTACACATTGAAGTTAATATAAATGACCATAATAAGCTTTCAAACCAAGAATTTCATTGGTATTTGTAATGCAAGTCAGTATAACTTTTGGCAGCAATGTTGAAATTAGTTTGTGCACTTCATGGTGTCCCGTTATCTTTTACGCTTCTAAAACACCAAGGTTTATTATATGAACTAAATGTGACGTGACGTTTGTTACCACGTAGGCTGATTATGATGTTACGTTGTAAAACACAATGTGGTGTTACGTTTCAAACGTATATAAACTCAATGTGATATTACGTTTGTTTAACACTAAGGTAAACCATGATGCAATGTTGTAAAGCACCAATATCGTTTATATGAACTTAATGTGATGTTACGTTGTGAGCACTATAAGGTTGTTGTAAAACGCCAAGGATAGGCTATGAAACGCAATGACTTGTTATATGAATTAAATGTGATGTTACGTTTCTAAAGCACCAATTAAAGATGATTATATGAACTGATTGTGGTGTTACGTTGTAAAACATCAAGGTTGATAATGACACCGTGGTTGGTTATGTTATTCTAGTTCAAATGTTGAAAGTACACGTGTTAACTGGTGACATATGTAGCTGGCCATGAATATGCTAAACAGATGGGGGCATAATTATCTGCCCTTGAGGTTGTTTTTTTTACTTTCGCTGTGAATTTAAGGTCATATCAAAGACTGAATGAAAATCTGAATGGATAAGGCTTTTTGCTAGATTGTGAATAATTTGCCCTAGAAAGAAGGGGGAAAAATCCTTGAGCAGAGAACTTGAAAACGAGATAATGACCTCCAATATCTTTTAAGTTAAAAATGTTTCTGTTTCCATATTCTCAGATCATGCAAAGTTTAAATAATTTCTAATATACAGTTTTAAATTTGCCTATATTTTTATATAACAGTAACTGTAATATACACCTTTAAATAATGCCGACCTCAAGGACATCTGAAAATTGTCACAAACGAGACATAGGGAAATAACAAGTATCTTATCATGTAGGCACTGATAGGCTGTGATAGCGATGGTCGCTATTTGATTGTATTTAATATATGTACAAAGTAAAGCTGACTTTGTGGAGGAATAACTGAAATGTTCCCCCGTGCATTATTTCATGCACGAGGCAGCACCAGAGTAGAAACACCGATCTCGGACAGCTTCCTGACAAAACAAAAAGTACGGAGTCCATGACGAGATTCGGCCATAACCACTCGGCCACGGAGGCAGTAGAAGTCAATGCTAAATGTTAGGATTTTAAATCAAAATTGTTGGCATAAACCTTTCATCTTTGTGAGAGATAAGTGAAATGTGGATTTTGCAGTATCTAAGCGGTTAGAGAGATATACAAAATCAAGAGGACACAAATCGTTACCATGAGAAAATGACCTTAAAGCTGCACGCCTGCAGATGAGCAAAAATATTTCTATGAAATCGAAACTGAGAAAAATGTACTAAGATTTTGGGAAAAGTATAAAATTTCAAAATTCTAGTAAAAATTTACATGTTATGTGTGATTAATTACCGAATTTTTCAGTGTTTATATTTTTTACTGCGTTACTAACGCAGTAAGGTTTTTTTGTGCATATTTTGACCATAGGCTGTAAGTGCCATTATGTGTAAATTGCATTATTTTGGTAATTTTCAAATTTTCATGAAAATAAGCATGAATCTGGGAGTCTGTGATGCTTTGTCTAACAGAACATTTCTTTTGTTTTTTTCTCTCAAAAGGTTAGATACGTTAGACATAAGACAACATTGGGAATAGCATTAAACTTCCCTTTCAGAACTGCATCTCTAGCAGAAATGTATCAACAGTTAATATCACCCATAATATTGTGATGATCCGAGACTTTTTGTAATCCGAGGTACGTGATGAGAGTAAAATACATTTGTATCTTTACTTACAACATTCAAACCACATATATTAAGTGTCAAGCATAGGTTAATATTTAATATTCTTCAATGATTTTTTTTCTAGAAAATTGGGTATATGAACGGACAGACGGACAACAACCCCTCACAATAATAATGGTGAAAATTGGTACTAGTATTATTTATAACAAAACACTGACTGATCCCTTAGTATTTAATGCATTTATCAAGCACTTACAAACAAAAATAATTATGCAACATAATTAATACAGTAGGAAAATTTATATCATGATTCATATATCTTAACTTACATCTCATTAATACATCAATTAATTAAATATCAATTTACAAAATCAGTATTTCATTCACTTAAATTCAAGTTTTTTCTCTCTCACATGTTTACATAAACACAGATAACAGGATTAAAACTTGCTTCCATGTATAAATCTAGGAAATATAGACTAGTTAACCACAGGTTATTATAGTATTAAGGACAATATCTATAAATATCTATTTATAGCCTAGTTGATATGTAACGTTTTATTTAATGTGCCTTCAAACATTTACATTTTTTTATTTGACAACTTGATGGCCAGGCTTAATCAATTCATTTCACAATATCTTGAACAGTGGTGTCATTATTCATGGTAATTTTACAATATTTCAACAAAAATTTCAGAATTCAGGATAATTTTACAATAGATCACAGATCCTCCATTCAATCCTTCACATTCAAAACAATGTAAATCAATAAAAAAAAACATTTATTACTACTTCACTGGTAATCTAAATCACATGCACACTTAAAAAACATGGGTATTTCTCTAACTTTCCAATCATCAGGGAAAAACTTTGGTAGGTTAAATAGGTTGAGATACAAATATTGCACTGACTTCTAGAAATATTTTAATCAATTTTTGATTCATTACTGGGTATATAAAATCATTTATACATAGATACTGCAAGAAGTTCTCTTACATTGAAAGAAAACTATAAAATTATTTCTGACTTAATCTTTAACCTGCTAATTGGTTAGCCCCCCCCCCAACATATATATACAGGCAGATCAATTTGACCAGGCCCTATACTGTTGGTAGCTTAATTTGGTATTATTTATAATCCTAATGGATTGTTTGCAATTCAAAACAGGGCAAATCAAAAATACAAATTCAGCAGGTAAGAGATTAAAAGGAATGATATTTTTGTCAGTGACAGACTGTGAGAGAAGACAGAGTTAGCCTTTTATACTACATGTAGCTTATTATATCAAAATAATGATTGTGATAATGAAAATATATATGACTGTACATTCATTAACGAATCGCAATAATCCCTGCTTCTAGAAGTTTTTCTATTTTTGACGCTACATCTGGGTTCTTCAAGTGCCTGCAAACAAATATAGAAGAAATTATAAAATGTGTTTTATTGAACCCCAAAAAATCCATCTTAAAACCGAATTTTCATATGTATGTTAATTGTTACACAATTTAAAGCTGCAGGCCTCCAGACGAGGCAAAATATTTCAAGAAAATTAAAATTGAGAAAAATATGTTAAAATTTTAAGAAATGTTAATTTTTTCAAGATTTAAGTAATGATTTACATATTTTATGCGATTATGGGCTGATTTTGCAGTATTTATCACAAAATTCTACTGCATTACTAACCCAGTAAGGGATAATTTTGCTTATTTTGTCCTCTTTTTTTGTAATTTATGTGGATTGCAAGAGCTGTCTGCAATGTGTTTTTTTTTCTTTGTTCACTTCACAATATTTTACTTTTTAATACATTTTTAAAAGTTTCATTAAAATTAGCATGAATCTAATGGCATGCTGCTTTAATGATATCAATCAAATCTTATATTGTAAACACTGTTCAAGAGCCACAAGTCCAAAGTACATATATCTATGAAACAAGTTTGTATAATTCCATAAGAGCCCATTAGCATGCACATAATCATTGCTAAAATAGCGCCATAAATTTTTGTTCTGGAACATTTTATCTTTTTTCATACAATATTTATGTGTGTTAAACAACAGAGACATTCTATGTTACAACTCTTAAGAATCAAACACAAGTTTGGAAAAAACATAATTTTACCATTTATAATTTAAAAAAAATATTTCAGTAGATAAAGCTTAATACCCTTGAAGCCCTTTTCTGAATCAAATTACTTACTCTCTTAAAGCATTTGGATCTTTCTGCATTTGTTCAAGTATAAGTCTCATAGCTGGATCAGACAATATTTCCTGTATTTCTGGGTTCTCCATGGCTCGTTTTCTCACCGCCTCTGGGTCACTATTCTCCTGTACAACTGAGCTTCTGTATCCCTGCTGTGCCTCCTGTAATACAATATAACTGTATTATGTCATAATATATTGCTTCATTTGATTGGCCTGTCAATTATGAATACATTATAGCCCTTATTTGAGTCTTTGATCCAGCTTGGGTTATACCAAGTAATTTACGAAACTTAATAATCTGGAATCTCAGCATTTCTAAACCAGAACTTTACAATACTAATCTTACGTAAAACAAGTTCACTTTATACAGTATACCATAGCATTACAGGTTTGTTGCCTAAAACTTTATATTTTTTACATTACTTAAGTAATTTCCAAAAGAAAAAAATATTAATATGACGATATCTAGATTATACAATGAATATTTACAAATACCGTTTACATTGAACAAGAGGGCCATGATGGCCCTGAAGTCACTCACCTGTACATAGGCGCCCGGAGCAAGGCCAGTTTAAAGCCCGGGGCTTTTATTTGAACAAACTTTGTAGACAACCATTAGAAGATGTTTCATGCTAAACATCTAAGGTCTAGCTCATTGGGATTTTTAAAAGAAGATTTTTTAAAGTTTTTTCTTTACACATATAGTTAAAAACAATGACACACCTGGGGCAGGGCCAGTTTTGAACCCAGGGCTTTTATTTGAACAATCTTTGTAGACACTTACTAGAAAATGTTTCATGCTTAATATCTAAACTCTAGCTATTCGGGTTCTTTAAAAGAAGATTTTTAAGTTTTTGCTATACTTGTATAAGGAAAATCAATGTCCCCGGGGCGCGGGCCAATTTTGACTCCAGGACTTTCTATTTGAACAAACTTTGAAGACACTCACTAGAAGATGCTTCATGATTAATATCTAAAATCTTGCTATTTGAGTTTTTTCAAAGAAGATTTTTCAATTTTTGCTATAGTTTTACACATATAGGGAAAATGAATGACCTCCGGGGCAGGGCCAATTTTGACCCCAGGGCTTTTATTTGAACAAACTTGGTACACATCCATTAGAAGATGTTTCACGCTAAATATCTTAGCTCTAGCTCTTTTGGTTCTTTAAAAGAAGATTTTTTAAGTTTTTACTATATGCATATAGGGAAAATCAATGACCCCTGGGGCGGGGCCAATTTTGACCCAGGGCTTTTATTTGAACAAACTTGGTAGACACCCATTAGAAGATGTTTCATGCTAAATATCTTAGCTCTAGCTCTTTGGGTTCTTTAAAAGAAGATTTTTTAAGTTTTTTACTATATGTATATAGGGAAATCAATGACCCCCTGGGGCGGGGCCAATTTTGACCCCAGGGTTTTTTATTTGAACAAACTTGGTAGACATCCATTAGAAGATGTTTCATGCTAAATATCTTAGCTCTAGCTCTTTTGGTTCTTTAAAAGAAGAATTTTTAAGTTTTTACTATATGCATATAGGGAAAATCAATGACCCCCTGGGGCAGGACCAATTTTGACCCTAGGGCTTTTATTTGAACAAACTTGCTAGACACCCATGAGAAGATGTTTCATGCTAAATATCTAAGCTCTAGCTCTTTGGGTTCTTTAAAAGAAGATTTTTTAAGTTTTTACTATATGCATATAGGGAAAATCAATGACCCCCTGGGGCGGGGCCAATTTTGACCCAAGGGCTTTTATTTGAACAAACTTGGTAGACACTCACCAGAAGATGTTTCATGCCAAAAATCTAAGCTCTAGCTCTTTGGGTTTTTTAGAAGAAGATATTTTAAGTTTTTTCTTTTGGTTGCCATGGCAACAAGAGTTCTGCATGGAATTAAATTCTTTGAACAATTTTTAAAGGTGACCACCAAAGGAACATTTCTGTGAAGTTTGGATGAAATTGGCTTAGTGGTTCATGAGGAGATGTCATTTAAAGTAAAAGTTTACGGACGCTGGACGGACGCCTGACGAAAAGCGATCACAAAAGCTCACCCTGTCACTTTGTGACAGGTGAGCTAAAAAACCCAAGCTGTATGGTTAAAACATAAGTTGCTGAAGGTTGACATAAAAAAATTATTATAAGAAGGAGGTATTGCGACTAGAGTATATACATACAGCACAGTTGGGATCTAATTCCAGAGCTTTCTGATAGGCTTGTGCTGCTTTAGAGTTCTCCTTCATCGCAGTAAAAATGGCACCTTTACGTAAATAACCCTTTACTGAAAAACATAAAAGTATTGTGATGAAACGTTAAAGTCACAGATAGTCAATTCTCACTTGCATAAATGTATTAACCATAATAAAACAAAACACTACTGAGTTACACTTCTGAGCAATCATAGTGAGGACATTCAAGGAAACATTAGTCAGTGCTGGACGCTTATGTAAATAAAGTGCAAATATGTTTGAAAATATGTTTACACATACTGTTTACTCTTAGTAACTCAGTCGCTTCACTTTAGTGTAAGAATTTTTAAAGTCTGATCAAAGTTCCTTTTTTTATATATTACTTACTGAGACTCTAAATGTATTGAAACACACCAATTAAATTCAAGCATATTTTCATGTCAAAAGTCTAAGTGTGAAAACAGGCATCTGATCAAAGGTATACTACATTAAGGTAATATGTAGTCATACTGGTACCCACATTTCATGATTGTTGTAATTACCGGTCATCATGTGTAATTGATAAACTGTTAAAATTGCTTTGCTACTTTCACTTAATTGGTTTTAAGAGATGTATAAATTATCTTAAAATGGAGAAAAATACCAAAATAATGAAAATTATCCTTACTAAATTTTGGATCCAATTTAATACATTCATCACAGTCTCGGAGGGCGAGGTTAAATTCCATCAGTTTAGTATAACATGCTGCTCTGTTGCTGTAGATTTTAGCGTCACCAGGGTTACGTTTGATAGCTTCAGCATAATGTTTTAATGCTTCAGGATATTTACCTAAACATACCAAAATAAATATATAATGCATTAAGTAAATTTTTCATCAACAACTAATATAAAGGTATCAATCTTACATAACCATGTAAAAGCAAGGGACAGAAATTGTCATAAAACCAGGTTATTCCGTTAATCCCTTCAGAAATTAAAAAACCAGGTTATTCCGTTAATCCTTTCAGAAATTAAGAGTAAGGTCAGGGGCCCCGTTTGCTGTTTTTTTGGGTTTGTTTTTTTTATTTTAGGGTTTTTTTCCAACATTTATTTCAGTCATATAGGGGGGGTAGTTTTTTTTAAACCCAAATTTGTTCCTGGGGGAGTTCCCCCAGTACAGACTACCCCTTTCCTCCGTGTTTAAAACTCCCAAAAAAGCATCTGGGGGATCAAACCCCAACGCCAGAGGGGTAATGGATTGAAGTCATCTACCCCCTAACCCCTCGACCACGGAGGGGGGCCTTTTTTGCAAATCAAAAGTATTTCCTCCCCCAAATGGGATATTTTTGAAAATACCACAAAAAAGGGCCTATTAATTTCATAAGGGGGCACTTAAAATTCAGTCCCAGACTCAACCTTCTTTTTTTTTCAAAAAGGACAAACATAAAAGGGGAAAAGCACATTTTTACAAAATTTTTGAAAGTAGCTTAAATCATAGGTAAAGGTCATATTAAAAATTTTTCCCAACCATTTTGGTGATTTTTTAAGTTAGTTGAATAAAAAAAAAGGGAGCACCTTTTTGTGGTTTAAATATAACATGTTTTTAATTACCTTGTTGATAAAATTTTCTTTTCCCTTTTGGTTTTTTTCTTGTTTTGGGATAATCGGGGTTTTGGGGGGTAGGGCAATTTCCTTTCCCTTTCCCTTCCCTTTCTTCTGTTTCCCCCAAATCTGAAAATTAAATTTGTTAATTATCTTTGGAAATATAAAATACTTTTTAAACCCCAATTTACTCAAAGGAGTTCATAAGGGCCCCCTAAAAACGCTTACTCTGAGGATAGGGGGTTTACATAAACCCAAAATTTCTATTTTTAGGCCATTTTTATCATTTTTTATAAAAATTTTATTAAAAAGTTTAAAGGGGAAAGGATTTTCATTTAAGCCCAAATTTTTTCATATTATTCGGGAAAAGGGCATGCCATCTTATTCTTTCAAACTGAAACCCACTTTAATAAAAAAATATTTAAGCCCAGATACATTTGAGCACTTCAATAGAGGACCATCCAAATTTCCCTTTTAACTGATGTTTTAACATTCTTTACTTCCCAAAAGAGGAAAAGGATTTGGGAACTTAATAAATAAAATTTTAATTATGGCAAGCAAAGACACGGGTTTTGGTCAAAAATAATTTAAAACCTTGGGGGGGATTTTTGGTTCTGAGGGAGTAAAAAAAAGCCAGAAATGTTTTTTTTTTCGCCCTGAAAGGTTTTGATTTTCATTATTTCGGCCAAAGGCCCAAAGAAAAAATTCAGGTTTGACGATTTTTAGGTAAAACCCAAATTATACATTATAAAATTTTTCCGGGGACTAGGGATGAGTTTCGGAGAAAAGGAAGGTATTTGATTTTGGATCAAATTTTCCAAAGCAAAAGGGATTTTAAACCCTGTATCTTAAAGTGGTTTTTTTTAAAATTAAAAACCCTTACAGTTTACCATTATACTCTGAAAAAGATTTTTAATTAAAAACCCTTAACTTAAAATTTGTTAACTTATTTTCAGTATTTGTTTAGCATTTTTCGGGTGTTCTATTTTTTCGGGAACAAGTTTTTTTTTTCAAATATTTTTTTTTGGGCATTTTCTTTCAATTCTTTTTTTAAGAAGGGCTTTTCCTGTTCTTGCTAAAGCCCTGCAATGATAAATATAAAATAACAATCCTTTAAAGTTTGTTTAAACCTGAAATGTAATTGGTGCTGTCAGTCGAAAAACACAGTTCAGGAATCCATGTTTTGGTAGATGACCCACAATTATTAGCAAGAAAACATTTGTGTGAAATCTTTTTATTCTAGAAGCTTTGAAAATGACAACTACATTTAAAATCATGAAATAGAAATTGTCTAAGTTTAGAAATAGTGAAGTACTAAATGTTATGAGTCATGGATGTAGTACAGTATTCTATATAACTTTGAATAGTTCCCCAAAAGCTAAAAACCAAAATGTATGTGAATTCCTAATAATCCCTGCAAAATAACTTATTTTTAGATCATAGGCCATTTTGGCCTTCAACCCAGGCAGAAGTATAGGCCCAACAATATATCACAGCGACCAAAACATTTATTGTGGGCAAAATAAAGACAACAGTTTATATCATGTTTTATTCACATCATTAAAGTTTCAATTTATGCACGGAAAATCTGTCAGCCATTTTTCAATAAAATTTTCTCATTTTCTGTTCTTATATACTCAGATGCTTCACTTCAGATGTTTAATTTAGCCGATTCATGTTTTGTTGTTCACAAATTTTTTTAAATGGGTCAAATCTAAAAAAAAAAGGTATTCTTAAACAGAAAATTTACGATTACTTGTTCTTTAACAAGCAAACTTTTATGATTATAATCGAGCATTGTCCGTATATTTCCACTAACCATAAGGTGAATAATATAGATTATGCATAAATGATTGGCATACATGCATTACGCAAATCTTACTGGAAGTACATATACTGATGACATACTACACAATTATTTCGGGAAAATATTGAAACTAGTTTTATACGAAAACACATTCTGAATTCAAACGCCCGTCAGGCTTACTACCTTTGGAGTTTTGCAGGCCCGAATTAGATTTTACAAGCCTCAGGCCTGTGCCTAATTTCGCAGACTGAATAATACCTACATTGCTTGTAAATTCGATTGTTTACCTTCAGGTCAACAAGATATATTAAATACTTTGACCAAGCATTACACCAAGGCTACTCATAGTGGAGTCAAAAAAACAACTATGTAAAGACAATGCAAAATTGCGAAACACTAGTTCTTTTTTAATTATGTTTTGAACAGGATTTTGTTGTTTACGGATAGATAACTCAAGTTTACTTGTATTTATATGTGCTAGAAATAAAGATTTCAGACACTAACGATAATTTATCCTATCCAAAACAAGCATCAACTTTTATGGAATGGAATTTCAAAACAAAGATTTTGTGAGAAATAAAGAATCCAAAACTGACTACATATATCAGAATATTTGTAGATACCAACTGGCCTGCAAAATTTAACCAAAGAGAGATGGAGATACTAATGCCCATGTGATTACAATAGCTCTCCTTATACTTTGAAAAGTTTAAAAAACTAAAAATGAAATGGGCCTTGTATGAAATAACCAAAAAAAAAAAAAAAAAAAGATTTTGTGACAAATAATGAATACAGAAACTGATTACATGTAAAGGTTGGGACTGATTTTATCATGCGGGGCTTACTTTGGCTATTGCTGGATTAGTCATCTGCGCGTGGTGTTTTGGTCGGCCAACATCAACTGCGCCTTTCCCACATGTTTGATATACAAACTCATCAGTTACTTTTTTCTGTTCAAAGTAAACAGCTGTAATACAAAAATAAAACAGAATATAGTTCAATAACTTATAGTAATGGAGCTATATGTATAAAATATTCTCGTCATCACATTGACATAGCAACAACAGTTAATATTCAAAATAAATAGACTTGCTTATACTTTAATACTAACATTTGATGTCACAAAAATAAAAATTTTACAGTTTTGCCATTTTAGTTTTTTTTATAACAAATTTCCAAAAAACGGGTTTTTAACTCCCACAAAAAAGTAAATTAAAATTGGGGAAAAACCAAAGATAAAAAATATAAACTGTGATTTTAAGATTTTTCTAAAGGGCTTTCCAGAATCCCAAAGCTTTTGCCCCAAATAGTACATAAATTTTTTTTATTTTGTTTTTTATAAATTTTAAAATAAATTACCAAAGCTTTGTTTTTTTAAGGGTTAGGTCATCCCCCTGTGGGGGCCCAAAAATTTAACGCTTCCCTCATAATTTTTGGTTAAAGTTTTCATCAAACTCCCTTCGTTTTTATTTTGCTGCTTTCCCCCTTTTTTCCTTGCTTCCTTCGCCTGAATAGTCAACATTAAAACCTTTACAGTACTATACTAGTAGGTGAAGTACTTAACAGTGTAAGTATTTTATAACAAGTTGTGCTGCAGGAAAAAAATACCATAACAAATAAAGTTAAATGACAGAAAATCAGAACAGTGCACAAAAAAAAACACACACACATCCATGCATGACATTAATAAAGTAAAATAAAAGAAAAGGCAGATGAAAAAGAAACTAATGCATGAGTAAAATGTCAACTACGCAAGTAAAACTACCATAATACACACATTGCTCACAATGTCAGTAACACAAAGTGTAATAGAAATCTTAATCTTAAACTACAGAAACACTTGTAAGACATGTATAATCCCCGGGTATGACTGTACTGTACTGAACAACAAAAATTCAGGTAAGCACCTTTGTTAAGTTGGACCAGTGTTTTATCACCTTTTTTCTGTTCATCTGATTCCTGAGCTTTCTTTTTGTTTTATTTTGACCTGAGTTATGAGGTTGGGGGGAGCTAGATTGGAGTTAGGCCTGAATGGGCTGAGGGCTTTGAGGTAGTTGACTGAGGCTCTGACGGGCGCAGTCCCGTCTAGGAAAAATCTTCAGGATCTTCCATTAGTTTGTAGATTAATACAAGTAGAACTCCCAAACAGTAAATCATACGCGTATCATTTATATTTCTGGAAAAAAATAAAGAAAAAGTACATTTGAGCCGCGTCATGACAAAACCAACATAATGGGTTTGCGACCAGCATGGATTCAGACCAGCCTGCGCATCCGCGCACTCTGATCAGGATCCATGCTGTTCACTTACAAACCCTATTACAAGTAGAGAAACTGATAGCGAACAGCATGGATCCTGATCAGACTGCGCAGTCTGGTCTGGATCCGCGCTTGTCGCAAACGCACTATGTTGGTTTTGTCGTGACGCGGCTCTTTTGATTAATTATTCAATACTTTATTGTTGCAGGTAGAACAAAGAAAAAACTCTGATTAGTATTATATACAAGTGTAGACTGTGTAACTGAGGTGAATAAATGATCTTTACAGGCCATCTAAATAGCTTTCTTATACAATAGAAGTTATACGGTATGTTTGAAAGAAACTAGCCATTCTTTAATTTATGGTTAATAAAAATCATATGTGGTAAACATACTATTTTAGATCATAAACATATCGTGCTATTAGCACAAGTGTAACTAATAAAATAAATATTTGTGTCAATACATCTTTAACTCTTATGTAAAATGGGGACTAATTTAGAATTAAAATAGTACATACTGCATGCTACCACTTAGTCTCATCATATCTATTTGTTGTCTAAACATTGGGTCCTTTAAATATTCTCTACTTTTGGGATCAGCTTCCAGTTTCTTCATGGCATCAGGTTGAGTAAACGGGTTACCTATAGCAGAGCTACCACCAGGACCTGAAACATCCCTTTTATTAATATATTTATCCCAAAAAATTTTAAAATTACATTTGTTGAACCCGTTGCACATAAGTTGTTGGGTTATATTTTTTGGCCCCACGACATAAACACTTTTCTTTAAAACATCAAGAAACCTTTAAAAAAAAATGTTTCCCAAGGTTTTTTTTTCTTCTCCCCCAAAAAAAACAGCAAACAAATTAAAATTTTTACACCAAATTTAAAAAATTAGGTAACCCGTTTCTTTTAAACAGGGTTTTTAACCCGATCCAGTATCAAAATTCAAGGGGGCTTTTTTTAAACCCGTTTTTTTAAACATGTTTTTCCATTTTTTTAAAACAATTTTTTTTTTGGGGGTCTATATTTCCTACACAATGTTTAACCAATATTAATTTTATAAGTTTCCATTTCTAGTTGAAAATACATTTTTCTGGCTTTCAGTTTCTATAGAATAACAACAAAGATAGCAACAAATACAAACTTAACTGGGCCACCCTGTTGTATGGCCCCCTGTTAAACCCTAACTTCAATATATCATAAACAAGATCGGTTTTTTTTTTTGTTTCGTTTTTTTATTTGTTGATTTTTACCAACACTAGTTCTGTCATTCAATTATTTTAAAGCACATTTGTAGCGAATTTAAGCACTTTTTAAGCACTTTTCAAGAGAGTTATCAAATTCAAGGACTTTTAAGCACTTTTTATCATTTTAAAGCACTTTTTAAGAAAGGGACTGAAATTTAAGCACTTTTTAAGACTGTACGAACCCTGTTAATTGAGGCTTGAACAGGGCTTTAAGCAAGATTTTTACATATACGAGGGTTGTCCTAATATTTTCTGACAAGATTTTTTTTAAAGCTAAAAAAAAACAGGTACGGAATTTTTATATTTTTAAATTTTTATAAACCCCTATAATTTTAAAATTTTTTACCCAAATTTTTATTTGATAAATATCAACAAACAAACCCAAAAAAAAATTTCCATAAACCCCCATTTGGGAACTTTAAATGAATACGGCGCACGTCCAACGTCCAAAGACAGGTTAAATGTATTATAAGGGCCTTTTTTAAAAAAACTCTCAAGGGTTTTTAAAAGCCCAATTTAATTTGGGACCCCTAAATTTGTCAATTTTTTGACTTAAATCTTTTTTGTTGTTTTTGGTCTGTTAATGTTGGATTGGGGATTTAAATTTAATTTTTTTCTATACGCGAACTTTCCGGTCTCGTTCACCTGGGTTTTTTGACCCGTAGGAAAAAGGCAAAAAAGATCGGTTTTCCTTTTCCATGTTTTCCTTATTTTTTGCCTTTTTTTCCCCCACAAATTCTTTTAAAAGTCCCATTTTTTAAATTTTTCCCATTTTTTTTATGATATATTTTTTATTTAAATTTGTAAACTTTTTTTGTTTCCCTTTAAATTTAAATTTTAAAATAAAATTTTCAGAGATGATTTTAAACCCTAGCCCGAGGAATCAACTTTACATTTTGCGACACAAACATCAGATATTTGGGGAAAAATACTAATTTAAATTTTAGCCCATTCATTTAAAAAGATTTAAAATTTTTGAAAGTGCGCCCCCGGGAACCCCAAAAAACCCAAAGTCGTTAATTTCTGAAAATTTCTAAGTAAAATAGGGGTTAAATTTTTTTGTTAAAAATTTTTTTTGTTTAATGGTTTAAAATAATAAAAATTTTAAAAGTTTTATGTTTTGGGGAAATTTTTTTTAAATTTGGGGGTTTTAAAAAAGAACCCGGGTAAAAAATTTTTTTTCATGCTTTTGGGACCCAAACCCCCCCGTAATTTTATGTTTTCTGCAGTTTTTTTATACCAAAAAAAAAAAATAGGAATATCCTTATTTTTTTTTGGTTTTTTGATATACTGACTTTTTTGGGGCAACAGAAATTTTTCTTAAGGGTTGTCAACCAAAATTCTGACAGAAAAAATTTTAAAACCTTTTATCAAAACTTTCAAACAAACAGACTAAATGTTTAAGCAAAAATGGGGCCCTGTGTTTATTTCAGAAGCAAAAAAAAACCTTATATGGGTATTTTTGCCAAATAAAATACCTCTTCATACAATTTCTGAAAACCCGTCTTTACTGAAAGCAAACCCCAAAAATTAAGGTGGAGTTTGTTTAAAATTGAAAGGAAAAAAGGTTTTAAAACCCCAAACCCGTTTAAAATTTGACTCCCGCCTCCCGCTAAGCCCCCCTTTTAAAATGTTGATTTCCGGCTCAATTTCAGACCTTCTTTTAAAGGGGTTTTTTTAGCCTCTTCAATCTCTTTAAATAACCCCAGATTGGGTTTCCCTTTTTGTTCCAACCCTTTAACATTTTTATATGATGATTTTACATTTAATACTTTGAAATTTTAAAAAATATGATTTATATTTAGTTTAAAAAAACTTTTTTTTAAAAACCCTTTAATAAAAAAACTGTTTTCATGATAAAACTAAGGATTCCCCAATTTTTTTTTTAAATATTTAAAGAGTTTTGGCTTTTTAAAGATATCTGAATAAAGCTTTTACTGTTTCTCTTTCTAAAATTTACTCCTAATTTTAAAAATTGGGGCATATTCCCAAAACCTTTTTATCCAATCTGGCCTCATCTCTAAAAGGGCCCTTTTTTGCCTTTATCAAGTGTTGTTTTTTAATTTCCTTTCCCCTTAAAATATGGGGCTGCTGATCTGTTATTTTTACAAATCTCATTGTTATCTGTGTCAGGCCTCTGTAAAACAGCCTCAAAGCCTCCTCATTTAAATTTCTCTCAGCTAATGCTTTTTTCCCCCTCTACTTTCAACGTTTCTGGGGCCTTTCATAGGGGGTCAATAAAAAAACAGGGGGCAGGGATAAAACATAGCCCAGGCCCTGTCTTTAGCTAGGTTTTTTTGGGTCTGAACTTTTTAAAAATCCCCAAGATATTACAAAAAATTTTTAATCCTTCCCCCCAAAAAAAGGTTAAAAATGAATGGTAAAAAAAAAACAAGCCCAAAAAAAGGGAAATTGGCATACAAAAATAGGATTGGATTTGCCCTTTTTCCAAAAGAAAGGTAAATAGTATAAGGACTTTTGTCACACCCACAAAGGGTCAGACCAATAATATAAATCCCCAAAATTTTTCACATTTTGGAATGATATTATTTTACAATTTTGTTTTCTTCAGTTTACCTTTTTACTTTCATTTTAAATCATATTTTACCAGAAAAAAAGGGGAAAAGGAAATGATTTTATTCTTTAAAGTGCATAAAAGGGAAAGACAGGCTTTTGAGATTCTATTTGTGGGGACAAAAGCCCAAAAGGAAATGGAGAAAATTAAATAATGTGAGGGAATACTGATTTTGACATCAAGGAAGCCCGTTATTTGGCACAACTTAGGCTTTTTGGTTTACCGAAATTTGGGATTGGGGCATTTTTACGACTAGAGAACATTTAAATTTTTTTTTTATTTTTTAAAAATTATTTACAACCCGGGAAAAATGATTTAATTTTATTTTAGGGAAAAGTTCTAAAGAAAAAATTAAATTTCCCATTTTACTTTGGGCCCCTGGGGGGTAACAGCTGTTTTGTAGTTTTTATTTTAAACCCTCAACAAAGTCTAATATTGCACCCTTTAATTTTTTTTTTTAATACCACCAGAACTCAAGGGTAAGTTTTCAAAAAAAATTGGGTTAAAACCCCACTCCCCCCGGGGATTTATTTTAAACTTTAAAAATTTTTAAATTTAGGATTATTGCAATTTTTACACAATCTTTAAAAATTTTTAAATTGGGGGGAATAAAAATCTGATTTCGGGAATTTTATTTTTTCTTTCATTCAATTTCTACAGTTCAAAAATTAATTTATTTATACTATTTTAACTATCTTCCAAAAATGTCAAACAAATTCAATTACAACATTCTTTGCAAAAAGTTTTTTTTAAAATCCAAGCCCAAAATTTATATTTTTAGGAGCCCCCAAAATGGCCTTTTGTGGTTGGCGGTAGGAGATAAATTGTTTAACTTTTTTGACATCTTACAAAATAAGGTTGCCATTCCCCTTCCAGATTATCTAAAAATTGTTTAAGGACCAACTCATAACTCCCATTCCCATGCTTTCACAGTCAATGAATTTAAGACTTTGAATTTACTAGCCCAAATTCCAGTTTTGAATATTTAACTAAATTTTCTTAAAATTTTCACTGGCCCGAACTAATTTTCACTGGCCACGGGCCAGTGCTAAATTCTATGACTGTATCAATGTATTTTGCAATGTCACAAGAATGGCTTGGTATAAATTTTCATTACCAAAATTATTGAAAACTCTTTCATTACTATTACGTGCAAGATGTAAATAGGATAGGAAACCAAAACCAGCAACAAGCTCTTTTAAACTTATCTAAACGATTTTTTTACAGGAAACAAATCAAACAATTAAAAAGAAGTTAAGTCAACAGTACCATTCAAATTAAAAAGTCCAAAATGTCACTCAGAATTAAAAATGCAAGTCCACAAATATATTCTAATCCAAGAAAATAAAATTAATTTTTGAGTCTAAATCCAAGAATGATTATCACAAAGTAATTTTTAGTTTAAATTAAAGCACAAAAGTTTTTAAGTAATAAATCCAAAGATGCCCCCATGAAAAAACACAGCGTCTTAAAAAACTTTTCTAGGAAAGTTCCCGAATAATCCAAAATAAATATTAAAAGGGCTTTACCAGGGAAGTAAATTTAAATGGATATCATTTTTCCTTTTAAAATAAACAGTAAGTTCCAGAATTTTTTTAAAATAAAAATATTTAAGTTTTTTCCCCAAGTTTCTTCCCCCCTTTTTTTTGGGAAAATTCTGAAAACACTAAGTTTAAAAAACTTGTTAATAATGAGTTTTAATTAAAAACCCAAACCAGTTTATTCATAAATTGGGGGAAAATGCGACAGTTTGGGCTTTGTGTCGATCGGAAATAAAGGGCCCAGCTGGGCTTGGGGGGGCCGAGCTGACCCTGATTAGTTGATGGGCTAGCGCAACCATAAATCGAACGGTCGAGCTTTAAACGATTATTCCCGGCTGATAAAAGTGGAGATAAAAATATAAATGAAAACACTTTAAATTAATATTACCTGTTGTTTCTTTGTATCTGCCATGTTTTTCAGGAAAATTCTAGAATATGATAAGAGTAACTTCCCTTTACCGGTTCAGGTCAACCTCCAAAAAGATTAAAAATAAACCGGTACGTTACGATACCGAAATCAACTTGATTTCGGTAAAGTTACCGAAATCAACTTTTCATTACCGAAATCAACTTATAAAGTCACAATTAAGCGTTTTAATATATTTTTTCATTATAATCTATTACAATAGGTTAAGTTTGACTTTCATGCAAAAAATCAGTTCGAAATATTTAATAATTATGAAATTAGAAACAAATAACTAGATTTAAATATCAAGATTACTTCCCTGATTTGTCACTAACAGAAATATATGTTACCATACCGAAATCGGCTTGTAAAATCACAATTAAGCGTTTTATTATGTTTTTTTTTTCATTATAATTTATTACAATAGGTTTAGTTTGACTTTCATGCAAAAAATTAGTTCGAAATTTTAATAATTATGAAATTAGAAACAAATATGAGTGGAGTGCGCATGCGCGCGAAGAAGTCGTGTTTTTCACGAGGGGAATAAAAAATCCTCTTATTTAATTAACTTCTTGACTACAAGTGACTTTTAAATACACCAATTACTTGCTAAATATCCCTTTTAATATAAGAAACATGTTTTTTGTGCTCACGTAAGTCAGGTATCACCATGTGAACGTTAAAACCCCACGAGGCTGTGCACCATACCCCACCCACCTGCCCACAACGCTACAAGATGGCGCCGACTCTATCGCCAGTTTTCGTTTCCTTTTTACTGTTGGTATTTCTTGAGAAAACCATTAACTACAGCCAACAACAGACCCCAAGAAACATTATATCAAACATGGGATGTGTGAAATGTGTCTTAAACACAATGAGAATTTTCCACCATAGAAATAGGCCCTTCCTAGACCCGAGGAAGACTTTACCTGTCTTTATTCTATTACTGGCTGGAGACATTGAACAGAACCCTGGCCCAGGTGATAAAAGTACTTGGCCATGTGCATTGTGTGACATGCCGGTCACATGGACCCAGCAAGGAGTAGAATGTTTTGATTGTGATATCTGGTACCATCAGTCCTGTCTATCTATGTGTAGTGGTGACCGAAAAAACCTAGACAGACCTAGCGTAGTATGGAAATGTTGTAAATGTGACAGTTTAAATTGTGATAGTTTCACTTTCCACAGTTATGAACTACAGTTATCCAATAATTTTGAGCCAATCTCAATGCTAGATTGTACTCTTGACTCAGTAAACAATGAAGTCTTCTCCCCTCTCCACACCAGCAGTCCTAAGCAGCCAAACACCAGTAACAGTATACCCATAAGCTCGTTACACAGAACCAGGTCTAAAAAATCAACTCTACATGAGGACCCATATAACTTACCAAAGAAACAGAACCTTCGTATCCTTAACGTTAATTGCAGGAGTATTCGTGATAAAACCTCGGAATTTAAAGCTGCTGTGAACTATATAAAACCAGATGTAATCTGTGGAACAGAGTCTTGGCTCCATGGAGTAAAACCAGGCAAAAACCCAACACTAAATGCAATTAAATCATCAGAAATATTCCCTGAAAACTACGTTATCTATAGAAATGACAGAGAAACTAAAGGAGGTGGTGTTTTTATAGCCATACATACTGACTTATCTTCCACAGAATGTGTTGAATTTGTGACGGATTGTGAACTTTCAGTGGCAAAAATATGTGTAAAATCCTTAAAAACTATATACGTTAGCACCTTCTATATGCCTAAAAGGAACATTAAAGACATAAATAACCTGAAAAAATCACTCGACTTGATAAATGAAGGTAAACCAAAAGAAATTATACTATGTGGTGACTTTAACTGCCCAGATATTGAATGGGATAGGCTGTGGGTTAATACCAAAGATGCCCAAGACAGAACTGTACAGCAACAATTGATTGATATAACATCAGAACACAATCTCACACAGATCCACAGAGAACCAACAAGACAAGGAAACCTATTAGATCTGACTTTTACTACAAATACATCGCTTGTGAAAGCATCCTCTAACGTACCTGGCATATCAGACCACGACATGGTAGTCATTGACACTGAAATCAAACCCACGTATATAAAAAAGAAACCTAGGAAAATTTACAAATATAATAAAGCTGACTGGGAAACCATAAAAAAAGACTGCCTCGAGCTGTCCGAGGAGATACAGACTATGTCTCATACAGGAAAAACAGAATTGAAGGACATTGTTCAAAAACCGAATTCATTCTAGTATTGAAAAGAATGTACCATCGAAAATTCAAAGACACATCAACAAACTACCTTGGCTCAACCATAACCTTAAAAAATCTAAAGAAAAAAGGTAGGCTTTATAAACAAGCAAAGAAAACAGGATCATGGACTAAATTCAAACAATTCCAAAAAGAATGCAAGAGGGATATGCGCAGGGCTGAATGGGACCACGTAAACAGGATCATCACTGAGGGTATGGAAAAGAAAAACTCTAAACCATTTTGGAACTACATCAAGTCGAAAAAACAGGACAACATTGGGATTGCTCCCCTAAAGAAGAAAGGAAATCTCTTCTCGGACTCTAAAAGCAAAGCAGAAATACTACTAGAACAATTTAAATCAGTATTCACCAAAGACAACAGTAATTATCTACCTGAGATGAAAGAGAAAAACAAATACCCTACTATAAGTAAACTTACTATAAAACCAGATGGTGTGCTGAAACTACTTAAAGACATAAACATTAACAAAGCAAATGGCCCAGACAACCTACCAAACATAATTCTCAAAAACTGTGCAAATGAACTAGCGAATGGCCTAAGTTGCATTTTCCAGCTCTCTATTGACACGGGTGAACTCCCAAGGGATTGGAGGGATGCAAACGTTACCCCAGTCTTCAAGAAAGGCGACAGGCACTCAGCTGAAAACTATCGACCAGTGAGTCTTACATCAGTTCCAAGTAAGATCTTAGAACACATCATATGCAGCCACTTACTTAAACACCTGGAAAAACATCGTATATTAACGTCACTTAACCACGGTTTTCGCTCTGGTTTTTCAACAGAAACACAACTACTAGTAACCATGCATGACCTACTTTCATCTTTCGAAAGAAAACAGCAAGTAGACGTCGCCATTCTGGACTTCTCCAAGGCGTTTGATACCGTCCCCCACGATCGTCTGCTTTGGAAAATAGAGAACTATGGAATAAAAGGAGAACTACTAACCTGGCTGTCGTCCTTCTTGAAAGAGAGAACAATGAATATAGTAGTCGAGGGAGAACATTCCAAGAGCACCCATGTTGAATCGGGCGTGCCCCAAGGTACTGTACTAGGACCACTGATGTTCCTTTGTCACATAAATGACTTACCATTAAGCGTTAAATCACAAGTCAGACTGTTCGCAGACGATTGCCTCCTCTATAGAGAAATTGAAAACCACAAAGATCACATAACTTTACAAAAAGACCTTAAAAGCCTTGAGAACTGGGCGTCAGAGTGGGGAATGAGGTTCAACGCTGGTAAATGCTATATACTGAGCATCAAAAACAAGACATCACACTTCTATGAACTCAATAATACTATCTTAAAACACGTGGACTCAAATCCTTATCTTGGTGTACTTATCTCCAACGATCTGACATGGACCAACCATATTACAAATATATGTAAAAAAGCAAGTTCAACCTTGGGCTTTCTTAGAAGAAATTTGAAACATTGCCCTCTAGATTGTAGAAAAACAGCCTTTATAGCCCTTGTACGTTCGAAAATAGAATACGCTTCAATCATCTGGGACCCGTTCTTGAAAAAAGATATTGATAAACTGGAAAATATACAAAGATTAGGAGCAAGATTCATTATGAATGACTACAAGTCAAGAAAACCAGGATGTGTTACAGATATGCTGACCAGCTTGAAACTCGACTCACTACAAGACCGTAGGACCTACAACCGCCTTGTAATGCTCTACAAGATAGCAGGGGGTATGGTGCCAGCAGTGGACCCTGATAAATACCTGACTCAGAAAGTTGAAGGACGCTTAATTAAACCAAAGAGATTCAGTGACTGTGAAACCACAAACATTATAAGAGTAGCCAATAACACTAGATCATTTAAAACTATAAACGCACAAACAAATCAATTTAAAAACTCCTTCTTTGTGAAAACACTTGAGGATTGGAACCATCTGGAAGATTCAGTTGTGCATGCAGTTACAATAGGGGGCTTCAAATCAGCCCTTCAGAAACTCGACTAGAGTTCCTCCACTCCCCCGTAGGACATATACCAGAAGTGGTCCTCCTACGTATTCACACAGATACAGATACAGATATCTAAATATCAAGATTATATACTAAACGAACCGAAATATATGTTACCATACCGAAATCGGCTTGTAAAAGTTAAAATAAACATGTTAATAGATCTTATTTAATTAATTAATATAATATCATTCAAACTGAACCATAAACAAAGGAAAATAATATTTAATTATAAAAAATGATGATGTTATAGCGGATATGTAAATTATATCATGATTACTTCCCTTGTTATTAATGTGTTGCATTAATTTACCGAAATCAAATCAGATTTCATTACAAAGATGAGAACAACCCCTAAATAATTTGCATGAATTTCAGAAGTCTATGAAAAAAAAAGATATTTGAGTGAGTTTTAAATTTTTAATTCATATTGTATATTTTCAATGTTTAAATTTTCCCTTGAGTTAGATAACATAGCAGCGATGTCCGATCATAGATTTTGAAAAATACGATTTTATTAGTAAATTGTTATGCACGACAATCACGTGCAGATATATAAAATGCTTGTGCTAATGTCTTGTAATAAATGGTTGATGTACATACATAATTTGTGTACCAAATATCTCTAAACCTGCAATATATTTTATTGCTAAAAAAAGAAAAGAAAAAGAAAAGAAAAAAGATGGGCCATGAAGAGCGCGCACCCCCGTGGTGTGGCCTGGATGCACTGAACAGCTAGATATTACAC